CTAAGCAGGAATCTATTTTGCGTATGGTAATTCAGCATACGTGGTATAAATTTAAATTGTCTCAATGGGCAGCAACAACAACCATGCTCATCAATTATCACTAAATCCTAGGGTGAAAAGCTGGTGGGTGATGGATAGATCAGAAGGACTCCATCATCAAGCTGAACAAAAAGAGAAAGAAGACATTTCATGTGTCTTCATATGGTACAATAGGAAGCACAGCAAAAATTCTGTACAAATTCACCATGCGCAAAATATTCTTTTTTTTTTAATCCTTTTATTGGGGGCTCTAACAACTCTTGTTAACATCCATAGATCAATTGTATCCGGCATATTAGTCCATCGTTCTTTTCTAGACATTTACTTTCCATTGAGCCCTTGGGATCAGCTCCTCTTTTTTTCCTTCCCTCCCCAAAATATTCTTACTTAAAATCAATTTGGGCAAGTATCTAGATCTAACTACCAGCCTACAGGAAATACAGGGAGCCAGAGAAGCATGCTAAAATGACATCATGAAGCTACAACTGACGAAATAAGAACGCAAAAATTCTAGAGGGCAAATGACTCAATTGCTTCAAGTAAATTATAAGGAAAGAAAACTGTGAAAGGAACCCTTTAGGTTAAAAAGGAAATGAGACATTAACCCAAAGCAATGTGAGGGCGATCCAAACAGGAATAAAGCAACCAGGAAAAAAAGAAGAGTATGAGACATTCAGGGCAGCACTTTTTGTTAATTTTTAGGTTTGATTCAAAAGAGGAGGGTAGATGAAAAATACAACTTTCCTCTAGTTCCTAAATGTTTCCTGCCCGCTCCCACTATCATGATACGAATTCTACCTTGCAAGTCTGGCTAGCCCAGAGGATGTACACTGGTACAGATAGGCACTGGAAATACAGGGAATCCAGAGCGGATGATCCCTACAGGACCAGTGGTGTGAGTGGCGATACTGGGAGGGTAGAGGGAGAGTGGGTTGGACAGAGGGAACCGATTACAAGGAACTATATGTGACCTCCTCCCTTGGGGATGGACAACAGAAAAGTGGGTGAAGGGAGACGTCAGACAGGGCAAGACATGACAAAATAACAATTTTTAAATTATCAAGAGCTCATGAGGGAAGGGGGAGCGGGGAGGGAGGGGGAAAATGAGGACCTAATGCCGGGGGCTTAAGTGGAGAGGAAAGGTTTTGAGAATGATGAGGGCAATGAATGTACAAATGTGCTTTACACAATTGATGTATATATGGATTGTGATAAGAATTGTATGAGCCCCTAAAAAAATTAGAAAAAAAAGTATGTTATCTAGAAATGGCTTGGAGGGGTGGGGTTGATTTCACCAAAATCAAAAGATTTTTGAATTTTGATCAAAAGATTCAAAAGAGAATCCACAGGGTGTGAAAAAAGATTTTGGCAATATATCAGACAAGAAACTAATCTCTAAAATCTATAGAAAACGTCAACATCTCAACTCAATTAAAACATGGGCAGAAGACATGAACAGTTTACAAAATATGCCATTCAGGCTGCAAACAAATATGAAGAAATGCTTGCAATCTCTAGCCATCCTAAAGATGCAAATCAAAACAACAATGAGATACCACTTTATCCCAGTATTGATAGCAATGTTCAGAAAAGTAGAAAATAGCAAATGCTGGAGGGGATACAGAGATTAGAACCCTCATACACTGCTGATGGGATTGTAAAACAGTACAACCCCTGTGGAAATGTATGGTGCTTCCTCAAACCAATAAAAATACTATATGACCCAACAATAGCATTATTTGGTATATACCTTACAAAAATAAAGAAGACAGAACGAACAGATATAAGCATACCCTTGTTCATCTCAGCACTATTCAAATAGCAAGAAGGAAACAATCTAAAAGTCCACTGGTGGAAGAATGGACAAAAAAACTGGTACATGCACACAGTGGAATACTATGCATCACTAAAGAATAATTATGAGAAAAACAACTTTATAAGCAAGAATAAACAGACCCAGCATAAGCAAAGCATTACTTAAGAGGAAGAACAGAGTAGGCCTCTCAGTCCTCGACTTCAAAACCTATTACACAGTCACAGTAGACTAAATAGCCTGGTACTGGTACAACAATAGATATGCAGCCCAGTGGAAGAGAAGAGAGAACCAGAAGTAAATCCATTCAACCTTTGACAAAGGGCTGAAATACATTGAGAGATAGTCCCTTCAACAAATGGTGCTGGCAAAACTGGACTTCCATTTGCAACAGAACAAAACAGGACCCATACACTCAAAAAACTGATCTTAAGATGGATTAAAAACATAAATGTAAATAATAAAATTATAAAAATAATCGATGAGAAAATAAGGATCAACTTAAGGGCCCTAATACAAGGCATAAATATACTACTAAACCTAACACACAGCTGATGACAAAATAGATCATTGAAACCTTCTAAAAAGAAGGCATCTACGTCAAAAGAATAAAAAGAGAACCTATAGATGGGGAATTACAGAACCACTACTCTTATTCTAAGGTATTTAATTTACCATGACATACAGATTAGTGAATTCATAAGGAACTTCAAGGTATGGTCCAATTGGCCTCTAAAATCCCTAGCAATACCACTATGAGGAAGCTGCATTTACCCCGAGTTTTACTAAACTAGAATTAGATTGAATAATTGTGGAAGAAGAATTTTCTAGAGGTGGTCATCATATTTATAATAATGAATCCACCAGTGGGGAATGAAATACAACAAAGATAAGAACAAGAGTTGAGAGGATTCTGTTGTGGTGGTTAGTTACCGTCAAGTCAGCCCTGGCTCATGGAGATCAAAATAAAACACGGACAACAGAATAAAATCCTGCTCAGTCCTGTGCAATTGAAAGGATTTTAGCAGAAAAGGAAAGGGAGTGAATAAAGGACAACCATTTATTCAGGATTACTATCCACAATTCTTAATAAAGATCAAAAGGAGTAAGCCATGCCATTTCCCACGCCAAGAGTGTGAGAGATGTGTGCAAAGCGAAGGGCTGCTTAGTATGCCCTTCTTAGGGAGATACTTAATGGATGCCTGACTCCACTGTAACGTGCTCCAGGATATCCTAGTGACAAGTTGTGGTGTAATGAAGGAACTCCATGTAGCGTGCAACTCAAAAACATTCCTTTGTGCCCTGACAGTGTTTATTCTAGTTATTAGGAATGACTTTTAGGCAGACTACTACTGATCTGGTTCAAACCTGAGTCAACATTTCAAAGCATGGCTAAGCATGATAGGGTATATCTCTAGAAATAAGATCACAAGACCAATTATGGAAGACTATGAAAGAGAAGAAAGCAAACGGAGGGAGAGAGAAATAAACACACACACTGGGCAGTGTGGTTATAGATAAAAGCAAAACGGGCTAGCCACTTCTTAATCAAATTCTGTGAAACTGAACAGAAAAGTTAAGCATATTAGACTTGAAGGAATGAGAAGAAGAGGAGCAAAGTTTAAATATTCTCTTCTCTATTCCACCACAAAAACCAAACTCACTGCCAGGAAGTCAATGCTGACTAATAGCAACTACATAGGGCAGAATAGCACTAGCACTGTCCTATAGGGTTTCCTAGACTACAATTTCTTTCGTGTGTGTGTGTGTGTGTGTGTGTGTGTGTGTAAATACAAATTCACTAAGTGTGTCAATTAAAGCCAACAACAGAGATTGGCAGACTCAGTGGTCAACAGGTGAGTGGAAAAACAAAATGTGGTCTAATCCTGCAGTAGAACGTGACTCAGTCACAAAGAGGAAGTAAGTTCTGAAGCTTAAGTCTCAGCAGGGGCAGATCACCAGGTCTTTTCTCCCATGGAGCTGTTGGCAGGTTCAAACCATCTACCTTTGGTTAGGAGAAGAGTGCTTACCCATTGTACCACCAGGCCTCCTAGGGAAAGAGATACATGTAGTTATATTTGGGATGTTTTATTCAGCCTCTATTCATAATTGTTTAAAGATAATGGATTGAAGAAGGTACTACAAAGGGTAGCTGGAGGAGGTGAGGCATAGATAAATTGGCTCTGTATTCATTAAAAGAGAGAATTAGGAAGAACCTCGTTTAGAAAAAAAATTGAAGAAAGTTAACAAAATAAATGATATATAAAGCTTTTTGAGTGTAAGCTAAATATGAGAGAAGTATTAGCTGGATCAACAGAAGAAATCAGACCAGTGAGTTTTTTAATATCAAGGGCAAACCTGAAGGGATACCAATGAAAATCTGTAAGAAATCAAAGAAAGGAAGATTTCTGGTTCTACAGTCATTATTTAGATGTGGTCATTAAGAAAATCATGTCTTGAGGGTGTCTGGGTCTATACGCAGAGTAAGAGAAAGCCAAATAACCACTGGATACAAGGTGGTTTAGTAGAAAGAGTCTGGTCTTTAGATGCAAACAGAGCTAGATACAAAATATGGCACAACCACTTACTAGCTGTGTTAATTAGTAAATGAATGGATTCACTATGAGCTTCTGTCTCCCCATCGACAAACAATACCTACTCTCTCACTGCCATTGAATTGATGCCAATTCATAACAATCATACAGGACAGAGCAGAACTATCCCTGGGAGTTTCCAAAGCTGTTAACTCTTCACAGGAGCAGAAAGCTCCGTCTTTCTCCCCTAGAGCTGGTTGTGTGTTTGAACTGCTAACCTTACGGATGGCAGGCCAGCACATAATCACTACACCACCAGGGCTCCTTAACAATACCTACACCTTGCAAAATTGTTGTGTAAGAGCTATGTAAAGTGCCTTGGATAGCACGTGTTGATGCTGTGACTAATATAAAAGTATAATACTGTTAGTATTATAATTACTACTGGTATGATGTAATAGGACTTAGTCAATACATATTGATTGGGGTTCCATTATACAAAGGTGGTGGCTAGAAAATGTTGGGAAAATAAAGAAGACAGATCGCAGATATTTCTTTTAAAGAGGAAAATTTGAGATACTCAAACATGAGATAAACCAGCATAAAATGTTTTCAGGTCGGTGATGATATGAACACTGCATAATATGAGTTTTGGAAACCAGATGATGGAATGTGAGCTAAGAACGGACTGAGACCAAAGGAAAAAATTAATAAATAATAAATAAAATGTTTTAAAAATAGGTAATATCCCCAATCTTTTTTGTTTTTTATATCCAATCTTTATTTATATATATATATATATAATCAGATAAATACATACTGAAATTGCTAGTATCAGCAACATAATAATTTTTAGCCCAAAAAATAATAGGACCACTAATGAAGCAAGAAAGAATCTTGGTGGAGCTACCAGGAGGAATCTATTACCCAGAAGATCATCCAAATCAGAGCGCATTCCTTGGCTCTAAAAATAAGAAACAGGCCCTTCAGTTTGTACAAAATGTGCCCCACACAAATTAATCCCTATATCCCAAAGCAAAGTACAGGGAAAAAGACAGGACCTCAAGAACATATAGCTTCAAAGTCGCCAAAGTACCCAGTGAAAGAGTTCAATGCTCAAAAATAAGAGACAGCTATCTATAGAATTCAAAAGAATCAGTTAAAAATGAAAGCTCTTACATAAGACTATCAACTAAATATGTAAATCTCAAATTAGCAATTAAAATTATTTCCATTTACCTGATTGTTTAGAATTTCTTTCTTTCCACTGAACATTTTTGCATTTGATCTGGTTTTGTCTCTCTTTTCGGAGTCGTTCTAATCTTTGAGCTTGAAAAGAAATATTATAAGTTTTTCAATGAAAGTTTACTATAAACAAAGACATAATTAACTACCTTTATATGAATAAAGATGTTTTATATTGCATATGTAAGAAAAAGTCATAAAATTTTAAAGGTGGCACCCCTGAAAAGCAAATACCAACAAAAACATGAAAATATCCTTGATTTATAATTGAAATTAGAGGATATAAAACATTAATAGAGATCATAAAGATAGTATTAACATGGAAGAGAATAATAAAATGTGAAAACTTCTGTGATTAATATGACATTTCATTATATAAATCATTAATAACGGTCTTAAAGGAATTTTAATGCACAAATGAACTGAAGTGAATATTACATTACAGGAATAAAATTACTGTTATGAATTACTCTACCCGTTTCAAAAATTAAAGATAAATGAACTCAGACTAGACTATTAAAGTTTTAAATATAAAATCCTTTATCTAAAAATCATGAAAATTATAAAATGTCAAAGCTATATAAATTAGCATAGCTTTTCTTCAGTGGGCTGAAACAGTTTATAGGTAGTAAAATAAATGATTTGTATCTTTGTAACATTAGTCAAATCTTAAAAAGAACAATTTTTCTTTCACAAATTTTAAGATATGTTGAAAGGATTAAAAAGTAAATTCCTTGCCCACTACTATACCCCAGAATCTCAATTAACTATACATCTACGGACTACTAAAGAAATTCCACCAACAAAAGAGTCCCCTAAAATTACGTATTTGAAAATACAATACCACTGGCTGACCAATCTTCAAAAATCAGTGAACTGATCATTAAAAAAAATAACGTCTGGGACACATTAATAAATAACCAGTGAATATTAAGACCTCAATGGAAAAGAAAGTCACAACTGATGCTACCTCTTGAAATTCGTTCCCTCATATCAGCTTCCTATACTGGTACAATGCTTTTTCTAAAAAGAGCTGGGAGGCAGGGAGAATAAAGATCTATATTTCTCTTTCAAAACACTGTCAAGGTTTGGACTCAAACACTCCTGCCTTTTGCACTGTGGTAGGGTGCACTAAAAATGGGTCTTGCCAGCATTGAAACTGTGCTAGCAAAAGCACACCATTCTGACAGTGTCACTATATCTAACCAAATTCCACGGAAGAAAAATACATTCAACTGCAATTAATAAATGTGAAAGGTACAGCCAAAGTAATATAATCATAAAGCTCTCAATTTAGCAGCATTCTCCTACTGAAATCCATTCAACCTGTCATATAAGATATAATCTCAATAACTTGCAAGGAAGTCAGTTTCAACTAGAGAACTGAGAATCAATGGTTCTAAATTATATTCAAACCTTCACTCAAATCCCATTTTGATAAAAATTCCTTTAGATACTTGGAAATGTGATTAATTATTTCCATCAAGAGAGCAAATTATTCTTTGTGGATGTCACAGAACGGTGAAATCTGAACCAACATTAACATGCCCTTTCACTGTAAGGCATATTCAGCTCTACCTGCAATGCCTCCTTCATCTATATTTTACATTTGGACCACAGAAGTAAGCATTTTCAATATTCTACTATATTTCCTGCATTTGCTGTTGGTTAGAAAGTTATATTTTCTGAAAATCTAAATAACAATTATTATCTCCTACTATAAACTCTCATATAAAAACTATAACATGTATTTTAAATAATGTATCTCCTTAAGTACAGGCCTTAGTTCACCACATTCCCCTTGTCAGACCTCCAAAAATATAATTTAAAAATGGGCAATGCTAATGACTGAACAAACGAGGAGGTCCCCCCCCACCAAAAAAAAAAAAAACAGAATTGCCCTCTCCTCTCAAATCTATGTGTTTAAATTTTTTTACAAAATAACCTTATCACCTTCAAAGTACTCTCCATTACACTTAATACATCTGTCAAATCTGCGATTCCATTCTTGGAAACATTTTTTTAATTCATCGGTTTGGATGGCGGACAGCACCTCCCTCATTTTTTTTTCCACCTCTTCTGTGTCATCAAATCCCTGTCCTTTCATGTCTCTTAATTCATGGAAACAAAAAGGAGTCACATGGAGTGAGGTTAGGTAAGTAAGGTGTGTGGGGAAAGAAAGGCTGGTTTTTGCCCAAAACTGGTGTGCTGACACGGCTGCATGAGCAGGTGCATTGTCGTGGTGGCAAAACCAGTCCCGTCTGCCACTAATCAGGCCTTTTTTGTCACACACTGTTACGCAAACTTTTCAGAACCTAGAAATAGAAAGCTTGATTAACAAACTGACCTGGTGGAATGAACTCCAAATGCACTATCCCCTCACATTAAAAAAAGAATATCAGGTTTTTGGGGGGTAACCAACCCCTCATATACATCAAAGTTGAGCACTTTAAACCACAAAAATCCAAGGATGATGATCAATTTAAGTAAGCAAAGGGAATGTTATCAAAAACAAGGACACCTTTTTAAAACGCACACCCAATTTAGAAATCCCTATTAAAACCAGTCCTAACAAATATTCACCTGCTACCCCGCCTCAACTCCACCCCTAGCTCTTCCAGGGGCAAGAACTGTGTCAGGCAGCAGGCTGTTCTCCATGGCTGGTCACTTCTAGCTATTGTTCTTCATGAGGTAAACCTGAAATCTACCTCAACTTTAAATCTCCTGGAGCTGTTACTCTCTAAAGACATGCAACACAGGTCCCTTTCTATATGATGACCTTTGCAAAAGGAAATCCTAGTCAACTTTTTCTTCTTCTATTTTGGACTGTGGTCTCTCTACACTCACATGTATGGGCCTGTTAATACAGAGAAACTTGCCCATTAAAAACCTAGTCAAACATTAAATTCTATAAAAATTGTTTACTCATTTAAAGCTCAGAAGACATGACTAAAAGGCAATTGTTTACCTGTGTTTGAGCGTCTTCTAATACCAAAGTCCCAACTTGAGGTAATATCGACTGACTGGGCATAAATGTAGCCCTGAGTTTCACCATTGCTTCCCTGAATTTCTGACCCACTGTCTCCAGGCATTGAAGGAAGATGAATCTTCTCTAGGTCAACATCATGATCAATGAGAACCATCTCACACATTCCCGTGTCATCACTGGTCACATGTGACTGTCGAATATGAGCTAGAATGATAGTTGGATTGTCCAAGAAGGCCATCCTTGCTGTGGGCCAATTTCCTTTAAAGGCTATTTTCTTCTCTTCATATTGTTTCACAGGCTCACCTACCTAGAAACATGATGTACACAGCAATATTTAAGAACAAGGCAGAAAACGATGAAATCATTTTTCAAACAAATTCAATGTGATGAAATGCTACCATAAAAATCAACATTGGTCCTTGTATTTGTGAACTTAGAAAGATTAAGGCTATATGGAACGGAATTCCTTATAAGCAAAAGAATATAGCTCTGGTCAATGAGATCGCCATGGTGTCAGAGACCTGCTCTTAGAGTTAATCAGGCCGCTCAAAGCACATGACTAATGTTTCTGTCTCCCACCCCTCTATGGAGTCTTCTGATTACAAGGTCATGGGGGAGCACATATTTACTATGTACAATTCTGTATTTCATCAGTTTTCAGGACCTCTTCCTGCCACATGGTTGTGACGTGTCAAAAAAGGCACAAAGACAGTACTTTCTGAGTTACTAGGACTTTTACAAAACGTATCAACAAGGTGATTTTGCTAAATAAACTTATTATTTTTGTTTCTTCTCATTTAAAATCCTACTTGGCTTTTCAAAATAAAACTTATTAATCAAACATGTCTGTTACAAGATTAATTTATTTTAGAAACCTAATTATAAGAACTGCTTACTAAATTCTATTAAAACTGTAATGATGTTTACTCAGGAAACAGGATGGTACCTCTTCAGTTAACTAGAAATACCCAGCAATGAGAATATTAAAGAATGATGGTTAGAAATACAAGCCTAGAGTCACATCTTGCATCAAATCCTAACCCTGGTACTTGCTAACTATGTAATCTTGACCAAAGTAACCTCTTTGAGTCTGTTTTCTTTTTCCATTAATAAAATGGGGGTTTAGAGGGTTGCTGGATAAGAGAATATAAATTAGATAATGTAGGTAAAGTACTAAAGATAGTACCTCAATTAAATAAATGGTAGTAGCAATTAATAATGACGACAATGATAAAATATCATTACCAATTTCAGCTTCCAATTCCTGTGTAAAGAAATCCTAAAATGTATCAGTATGTCGTCCTTCTTTTAGTAAAATCAAGGCATATAAAATAATCCAAGGCTCCCTACATGCAGAACCTCTACAGGGCTTCTGGGTCACAGACTGCTTCTCCAAAACCATTATAAGTGCAAGGAATGTGAAAGCTGAATTGATTATGTTCCTAGTCACAGTTTTAGAAAATATTTATTTTTAGAAAGACCTAATAACATCAGATTTTCTCATCATTTGTTTTTTCCAGAAATGAAAAATGAGGGGCATTTAGTTAATAAATCATTAGTTACCAGATTTTTTAAAAATTTGGCTGAAAATATGTCTACTGACATGACCCAGTGAGTCACTATAATAAGATACTGAGATTAAGAAAGTGTGTAACTGAGTACCATCTTTAGTCAAGTGAATTAATCTTTTCTTTTTTTTTAACATTTTATTAGGGACTCATACAACTGTTATCCCAATCCATACACACATCAATTGTGTAAAGCGCATTTGTACATCGTTTCTCAAAAGAATTAATCTTTTTTTAAGCATATTCATTGAGTACTGATTTTACATTGAGTAAATGAGAAATAAACTCAAAAGTGCGTAAGGCAGGCATCTCTAAAGCAGTGTATAGCTTACTAGAGACACAGGGAGCGGGGGAGGGGGAGAGTCTTTCAGGTGTCAACATTTTGAGACTTTTGTGGTCTCAGAAATTTAAACGTCAATCCACTATTTCAAGTAAATTTATTTTTAAGAATTACAATTAAAATTTTGTAAAAATAAGAACTCGTTACATAACCACAAAGAGAAAGCATTTCACTACAGAACTGTGAATAAACCAAGTATCTGTTTTTGTAACAGAACCATAACATCACAGGTTGCCAGAACTTCAGAGATCCTAGAAACAATCACAAGCTGACCTCCCTTCGTGAAAGGAAGGCAACTAGGTGTCGGAAGAGGGGCCAGTGCTTTTCCCTTCAGAGGGAATCATTCTCCCTACAAAAAAAAGGTGGTGGTGGTGGTGGTGGTGGTAGAACTGCAGCATTCAACAAGAAGCAAGCATTTTATGGGTGTTCTGGCACCAAAAGTCAAATGGTAAATCAGAAAAAATAAAATTAAAAATGCTTAAGTGCTCTCAACAGAATTTTTTCCGGAAAATGGATCTGCACCCTCATTTCTTAAGAGGGTGGATGGGCAAACACATCCAAAAGCACACACCAACTCCCTAACGTTATCTTTCTAGAATAGAGGTTGGAAAACATCCTAATGCCAGCTGACATCTTCTCTACTAATAATTTAACTTCACACGTTGAGGAATCTGAATAAAGATCACTCAACAAATATTTATAATCAATACCCTTTCTGATAAGAGAATTCCTACAGGGCAGCCCCTGAGAAACGTGCCGTTGTATATATCACTTTCCACCTCTTCGTACAAGGATCTGAGAATTTAAGACTACATTTCACAAGGGGTAGAGGCTGTAACACCACATCCCTCATGGCAATATAGTGTCTTACATATGGCAGAGATTCAATAAATGTTCCTGCCTTCCAAGGACCATTCCAATTTTGTTGTAGGAAAAAGTCACACGTGAGCATGTTCTATGTGAGTGTGAATATAAAGCAACATTTGCCTTTGTTTATTAAGACAATATAAGAGCTTCCCTTCAATGCATCCTTCAAAATGACCACCTTAGGACGTTATCAACTTAATCCAGAAACACTGCTTTCTACAACTCAAAGAGCCTTTTTTCGATGACCTCAGAGCAAAAGGTATCACCTGAAGGTGGAATTGATTTCTAAGACAAAGCCATTCGGAATACAAACGAAAATACGTTATTTTCTTGGACCAGTTGTGCAAAGATCAAAGAAATGAAATAAACTAATGTTGGCAGGAATTGAAAACAGGCACTTTCAAGCCTGGTGACAGAGAATGAAAATCAGGGCTATTTATCAGGTAATCTGGTATTATCTATCAAAATGTAAAACATGACTATCCTTTGACTCTGCAATCCACTACTAGGATTGGCCCTTAGGAGATCGTTGCACAGAAAACTTATCTCAGAATTGCATAAAGTATTGAAAGTCTGAAGTCACATGAACATCCACCAATAATGCATATGCTATGAGGTACACATGGAACAGAGTACTATGCAGCCATTAAAAATACATGACAAAATAAAAAAAAAAGTTTTTAATAAAATAAAAAATACACGACAGATCCTATTTACTTACATAGAATATATGAATAAAATATGAGTAAAACAGAATCAAGAACATACATAATAATAATCACATTAATGTAAAATTACTCATAAATATGTTGTCTCTTTATGCATCTAAATGGATAGAGCCAATTTGAAGGTAAGTCACCACAATTCTACGTGTTTATTTCTTTAAGAGTGAAGCTGGAAAGAATTAGTCTCGAGTACTTTGGTCATGCTACCTGGAGGAACCAGTCTCTAGATGAGGACAGCAGTCTTGGTAAAACGGAGGGCCTATGAAAAAGACGACGACGGCACACAGGCTGCAGCACTCAACTCCCAACTCCCACGTGGGAACAATGTTGAGGATGGCGCAGGGCTGAGCAGTTTGGTTGTTCATGGGGTAGCTGTGAGTTGTACCTCATTCAAACGTCATCTAGACTCATGCCATGTGACAACATCATGTCTGAGCATGAAGACTCGCTTTCCTCTTAGGACTCATCTACATTGTTTTCAATATTTCTATAGTCAATATGCATAGCTTTTTATGAAAATATAAAGTTCTTAGTAATTGACAGGAAAATATGGGTTTTTAAAACAATGTTTTTTTAAGATACTACAAAATATTTTAAAATAACTCACCCAGCACCCCAAACTTTATCAGGGTTTAACTTAGATTATGGCCTATAGTACAAAAGTCTGTGAAATGCCAGAGGGGAGCTGAGCATTTTTTTTTCTGAAAAGGGGACAGTAGGCCAAATAAGTTACTCGCTGATCTAAAGAATACTCTGAAATAGTTCACTTGGAAGACTATCTTATTTATTTCAGTGAAGTTGCCATGGGTCACATTTTAAAACCTTCACTGGAACTACTAGTTTCCCAAGGATTGCTAAAGGCATTAGTATTCTATGAGACACTAACAGATGTTCAACAAAGATTGCTCCATTAAAATAAGAAATACCTGATTAAACAAAGTTAAGCAAGTTTTCTTTCCACTGTTGAATCACAGTAATCAAACTTTTCAAATTACTACTGTGTATTGTGTATGATCCCTGGTAGTGTAGTGGTTATACACTGAGCTGCTAACTTCAAGCTCAGCAGTTCAAAGCAGCTTCTCAGAGGAAGAAAGAAGGGGCTTTCTACTCTCATAAAGAGTGATAGTCTCAGAAACAAACGGGGCAATTTGAACCTGTCTTATAGGGTCACTATGAGTCAGCATCTCCACAGATAAGGAATTTCCATGCAACATATCCCAAACTTATCTGATCCCTAAACATTGTTTCTTCTGCTATGAGCCATCAAGTCAATTCTGACACGTTCGTAATCTTACAAGAAAAGAGAAAACCTGTCACATTAGCTATAATCTTTATGCAACAGATTATCTGCCAGGTCTTTTCTCTCATGAAGAGGTTAATGTGTTCAAACAGATACTTTAGTTAGCACCTAGCCACTTTAACCACTGAGCCAACTGGGCTCCTACCACCTCCCTGCTAAAACATATCAATACACAAGGGTAAGCATTGTTATGAAACCACAATCTTTACTGAAGAAAAACAACAAAATGTGAAACTATTGTTTCTCAGCATAGGCTTCATCTAGATCTATCCACATCAGAAGGCAGTGTTTCCATCTCTTTAGCCCTTTCCTAAAGAATTTTGTACTTTGATATACACAAATCATGTCTTCTGAAATATCAAGTTTAGGGAGCCAAAAGGCCAAAGGGGCAAGAGTAGGACTGTAAAGTGCATGAGGTAAAGTTTCCCAACAAATTTCTCATACAACAGCCCTAACTAGCCTAAAAGAATGAGCAGATGCACTGCTGTAATGCAGGGCAAATTCCTT